GGCACGCGAAAACGGAGCTGTTTTGGGCTGTTTTGGGGCTGTTTTGCTCGGTTCGGTGAGCGGTCGCTTTGCAACGCTGCAGCTTGTTCGAACTTACATATTTACAAGCAAAATGACCCAAAACCATAAGAAAACATGCTGTCAAGCAGCTGTACATGCGGGTGTGAGCGACGAACGGTTCGTTGAACGGAGTTGTTGCGGGTGCGCGACGACCGTTCGTGACAGCCTGGTATTACCCTGTATCATTCGGTACGGGGCACTTTTAAATGTTCTGCCCAGTGGCGGGCGGTCCGCGTACCGGTATGCCATGGGACCGGTACGTACCACCTATACCGAGCGGTACCATTCGAAATTGCATACCTTGGTCCGGGATACAATTTTGTTAATTATAATAACTTGTTAAGAGTTCTCAAAAAAATTGTTTATGGATGCTGTATTACTGTCTTAATTTTGTTACTGTTCTTGTTTGTTTGGTTCCTAGAGATATTGAATCTTTGACAGGACTTTCAATGTAGGTATACACTGTTGGTCCAGATTATGCACATGCTGAAGCACGGAAGTCTCCTGTTGTTGATGGTGTTGTTATGAGAAATCCTGATGGAAAAGAAGTAAGCTCTCTGTAAAATTTTGTCACTAAAGCAGATTTAATCAATTCAATCATTTATGGTTATCTTACTTTTTTGAACCAATGGTTAGGCAAAAGCCTATACAATCTCATTTTCTCTTTATTTAATATTGCTTGTATTATATACTTTGATTTGCTTAAATAAGCCTATACAAGCATTATTTGTCAGTACCGACTGATATGGTATGTTCAATAAATTGGTATACTCCGATGTCTGAAATTATTAATATAGAATCATGCAGGTGCAAATATATGTATTCAACCAATTACATGGTATCAATTGTGCAGGTATAATTAAGGAAAATATTCTTACTGTTGCCCTTAAGAAGTATCTAATAGTGAAAATTCGGCAGCTGTAGGTTCTGAGCTTGCAAGTCGCACAGTTGGCCAGAAAGCTTGCCAGAAGGAATTGGCCCAGAAATTGGTGGTCTGTCTCAGTTAGCATGTACGATGTCTAAGTCGCACAGTCTGGTGCATGCTGAGGGCATGCCAACACTCAGCATAGGATTTAGAATCATGAAATAAGATATTTGCTTATTTTATTAAAGACAAAATAAGCCAGGATTTGGAATCATGAATGGCAAAGAGTTAGGAAAATAAAATTACAGTTTGAGTGCAGAGTTGGTTTGTCAGAAAAACAAGGTAACTTGTGTTGGCACCAGCTTTAGCAAGGATTCATTGGTTGCTGATGTAAAGAAAAACTTTGCAATTGATGTGGCTGATAGCTGTTGAAATCTTAGGCTGTTTGAATTATAAATCATGATCAAGGCTTCAGAGTGCTTTAATGAGAGTACAGCAAGTATAGGTTATTCAGATGCATTTCCAGGCAGATCTGGGACCAAACCACAATCAGGTTGAGTTTTTGACATCTTCAGATCTTATTGTTCGATCTGTTTGAACCCAGAATTTGATTACTCCTGCATATCAGCAGTATGAAAATTTTTTAGCAGGAGGGAGATAGATGATTTTATTTGAAAGGCGAGGAAGAAAGTTATAGATGGGGAAATAAAGTCAAGAAATAGGATAATAGTTAAAAGAAATAATGACAGGCAGAAGAAAGAAAAAAGTAGTCCTGTGGTAATTCTCTCAATGAAAATTAACACCATATAATCTATTCCCATAGCAAGGAATGTTTGTTCCCTTTAGTTTTCTAAAGGAGAAAAACATTAACCAATTAGAAGTATCTTTTGAAATCAGTCATTGAATTGCTTGAGACCAGCCAATGGCCCTTTCTTGAAAAGTTTGTGATTGGTTCCAACTAAATTTAAATTGCCAGAATTGACTCTCACCTTGATCCTTTTGTAGGATCTTGTAGGTTTGGAGTCTTTGGGGGTTCACAGATTTGTCTGAGGTTTAAGTCCAGAATGAGGTTGGCTCATGTCTCACTAGCCCAGTAAACCTAATATCCTTCAGTTACAAGCTCAATTAGTGCATTTCTTAATTTTGTATCCCAGTTTTACGATTATAGATTGGTCACTGAACTTTGTTCCATTATATAATGCTCATGCTTGTATTTGTTAACTTGAGATTGGAAGTGGTTAACTTAGTAAAATTGTCAGCGAATAAGAGGTACACGAATGGGATTAATTATTTTATATATGATTGCTTATTTACTTCATGTTCTCATTGGTTTGTCACTTTGTATTATAGACATTTGGAAGGAAATCTTAAAGAAACATCCTTTAGTTTTAACTTTAGCTAAACTTGAATTATTTAACCTATTGCGGGTGAATTGAGCTTCAGAAAGTAATGAGTAATCAATGATGTTATTTTTCTAGGAACAGGATTGTTTTCTTTTCTTCTCATATTCTTTTCCTTTCATACTGATCTTTTTCCTTCTCTTGGCTGGATAGACTATCTCATTTTTCTTTCCTATTTTTCATTAATTTTTCCTGCAGCAAAACTATAACCCTGTTGAGTATTTTGGTTTATAGGTTTTGATCATTTCCCTTTTTGGATCAACTATGTAACAGTTTTAATGTTTGGATTCTGGAGCTAATAGATCTTTCCTTAATGAAGTAAGACTGCTGGTAAAAAAAGGATTTGTTGGCTCGGAAACCAGACAGGAAGCAGACCTGACATTCTCTTGGGAAAAATTGAAGCAGAATATCTTAATTTTTTCCATGGGATTTCCTCCCACTGCTTTAGATTTGACTTCCAGCTCCAAATTTCTTCCCAAACTTGGTCCTCTACCCCCTTTCAATCTCCTCTAAGGTGTTGAGACTGCCGCCCTTAGTGTTGGAGGCTTGCAACCAATCATCCTCTTCACAGCCAATGAAGAGAAATCTGCATAAAGAGTGCTGGCCACTGTTTGACCACATCTGCAGAAGTGATATAATTCCATGGATTTCCGCCCCGAAATTTTTCTTTCTTTGTTGAAACCCTGAATTTTAATCCTAGTTCAATCCCATTGTTGGAGAGCTTGGTTTCCTTGCCTTGTTGCTTTTGGAACATTGTTTTTGACCTAAAAACTGCAAGTTTCTCTTCATATAGCCAATTGTAATCACTGATAGCATGTAACTTACTTGTAAACATACACCCAAATAGAATTTTTTTATTCACATGATGAACAAGTCCAGAATCTATTTTTGGTCCTGATTCTTGTATCATGTGTTTAAAGAGTTACAAAAATAACCTTTTTAAATATTTAAAGATAAGGTTGCGTACATTGACCCTTCCCAGACTCTATATTGGCGGGAGCCTCGTGCATTGGATACGTCCTTTTTAAAAGAAGGCGGGCCTTGGTACAATGATAAGGTTGCTCCTTTGTGACCTAGGAGACCAGGGTTCGAGTCCGGAAACAACTTCTTTAAATATTTAATGGTAAGACTATGTACATTGACCCTCCCTAGAACCCACATTGGCAAGAGTCTCGTGCACTTGGTATGCCCTTTTTTTTTATCTTGTATCATGCGTTTTGAGAAAGGATTTCCATGGAATTAACTTATGCACCACAATTATATTGAAAGAGGGAATATGATGCCTTTTCCATGATTATCATTCTCTTTAACCTGATGTTCTTGTGAAATTTTACTGGCTTGCTGTCCTTGCTGCCTAGAATTTAAGTTCTGCATTACTGATAATACAAGTTGATGAAACATAATTTTAATTCTCTCATTGATAATGTATTTTATTTGTAGGTACGGTATCCTGTTTTGCTGACTCCTGATGAGAAACAAATGGCAAGGGATGTTTGTAATGCTTTTCAGCAAGCAGTAAGATATGACACCTCATGTAAATCTTATTGCTAAATTTTATGTTTAAAGCAAATTTCAGTTAAAACAAAATCTTGCTAATTTTATTGGTTCACCATGTTCTAGCTGATGGTGGTTCACAATGTTCTAGCTTTAGGACGTTCCTTGTATGTTGCGTGTACTTGTTCTTTATACCTAGTAATCAATTGGAGGAATTATCTTTATTGAGTGTTTGATGAACATCATATGTAGTGATTTAAAAAGGCGCTCGGGCACTCGCCTAGGCGCTCGGGCAAGGCAGGGCGAGGCTCGAGCGCCTCGCTTCACTTCCAAGAGGCCTGCTTTAAAGAGGCGCCGCCTGGGCGCTCGCCCGAGCCCAAGGCGCTGGGCGCTTCGGGCGAGCGCCTGGGTTAAACCAGGCGATTGAACCAGGATTTTAGGTTTGGTTCGGTATCCAGTAGTTAGTTGGTTCAATCGAACCAACTAAAACCGATATCAGCTGTCGTTGCCTAACCCTAACCCTGCTCGTTGCCGCTACCGCTCCCGCTCCCGCTGCTCGCCGCTGTCGCCGCTCGCCGCACCCGTTGCTCGCCGCTCCTGCTCCCGCTGTCGCTTCCTCTTTTCTCAGTATACAATATACTGTTAACAATATACTGTATACTGTTAATATTGTTAGGTTTATTTGAAATTATTAATTTTCAATACTGTTAATAGATTAATATATTATTTTGATTTTAATACTGTTAATTTTTATTTATTTGATAATGATGAATGGCTTTGATGTAAAATTTTATTGTTTTGAATTTTGAAACTTTTTGTTAATGTGACATTCTGATTTTGTATCTTAGATTTTCTTAATTTAATAGCATATTTTTATTTAAAATTTTAAATAATTATATTTATTAATTATATTATATATTTTTATATTTTAGCGCATCGCTTCGCTCAGGCGAGTGCCTAGCGCCTCGGGCGTTTTTGGACCTTAGCTCCTTTTGGCGCCTAATGCTTTTTAAATCACTGATCATATGGTCACTTAGCTTTAGATATAAGAAATAATTGTAAGATTAGAAACCAAAGATTGATTTGAAAAGTTAGGGAAAATTAGATAAAGGAAGTTTGAACTTTGAAGAGGATGAATATAGGTATGATTTATTACATAAGTTTTGTTCATATTCTTATGAAAGTTTGGAGGTTTCTAGGAGACCAAAAGGTAATCATCTTAACTATTTTTCACTGAAAAAAATCTTGAGAACTAAATACTGGATGAATGTCGGAGAAGTATTTTGCTACTATATATAAGAAGAATATGGAGATTTTTAATGTTACTTAAACTTGAAGTGCATAGAAATTAAGATAATGAGCCACGTTATCTAAATTTTGAGAAGAGTAATTGAATAAAAACTAATATATAAAGTTTGTATTTTTAAGATTTTAACTCTTTGTATTGAAGAACTATTACAGGAGCTATTTATTTATCGAAACAATTAAAATTAGAGAGAAGAAGAAACACTTGCAAATAGTTTTTAATGATTAAAAAGAATGTTATGATAGAGTTCCTAATAATTTATGGTAATTTTAGAAAGGATAACCAGTGGTTATATTAATGTGATAAAAAATATCTACGATAAGGTTGCTACTAGTGTTGGGTTATAGGAGTATTTTTCAAGTTCCCGATAACTACTTTTTGAATCCTTATCTTTTCACTTTGTCAATCGATGACTTACTAAGCATATATGGGATATACTTCATATATCTTATTTGTTAATGATATTGTTTTGATCGATGTTATTTTAGACTTTTAGTTAGGGTTTAGGGCTATGTTGTATTAGTAGTTTGTCTAGTTGCAATTTTGAGTTTTAAATAAGTGATAAAAAGCAACAAACCAGTGGTGCCCACTCTGGCCTATTATTCTTTACTTTCTTTTTAGAGGGTAAATATCATGGTTTGACTTGACAGTCATTGACCTAGTAAATAGATACTATGGACATAAGCTTATAGCTCAAAAATATTTGAGTCTGGGATACTAGTTGTTAGAGCCAATGTCTAACTAATTGGGGCATCACATCTCCCACACTTATACACTTGCTGATTTCATGAAGGCAAAACATAATCCAAAATTCATTCACTTGTAGGCAGCATCGGAGTTCATTGCCCATTGGTTATTCTACTCCAAGATTCGTTTTTTTTTTCTTGCACCAACCATAGCTATCCCTTCGTATTTAGCGTCACTACCAATTGTTGACAAGCCTTACTAGGCTAGTATCTCGGATATAACAGGCCTTTAAACGCAACTCAAAATGCTTAAGCCTGATTAACTAGTTGTGAGCCCATCTACCCTTATGAACTTGATAGTATTCTCCCACTTCAATGTTGGTCTAACTGAGGTGTCGAAGAAATAACTATTGATTTTTGCTACAGATGCAAGTCAGCACTCCTTGTTTTTAATTGTTAGCCTACAAGAGACAATCCTGTTCATGCATGATCTTGATTTATAACAAACATCTGGAAATTACAGTTATTTTTGCACACTGATACAGTGGTAAAGCTATATTTTTGTTTAAGATTTAAGGTTTTATGAATGTGTTGGTTTATCCATGTAGGCTTATAATAAGGCTAAAATAGTGCAAAGTAAACTTTTAACAGTTGGTTATCTTTTTTCACACTCTTTATTCAATGGCAGGTTTGTGGCTTTGATCTCTTAAGATTCAAGGGAAGATCTTATGTGTGTGATGTCAATGGTTGGAGTTTTGTGAAGAACTCCCACAAGTAATTGTGCATTTGTTGTCATCTGTCTCATCTCTACCCTTAAATATATGCATATATGAAGAAAATTTGAACAATTTTTTTATATTATAAAGAAGCTGAACTTAATTGCATAGGTACTATGACGATGCAGCATGTTTGTTAAGGAAAATAATTCTTGATGCTAAGGCTCCTCATCTTTCATCTACTATTCCTCCCAACCTTCCATGGAAAGTTAATGAACCGGTCCAGCCTTCTGACGGACTAACACGCCAAGGAAGTGGAATTATTGGCACATTTGGGCAGTCTGAGGAGCTCCGCTGTGTTATAGCTATTATTCGCCAGTAAGGACTAATTTTTCCAGCCTAAAGAGCTCCAGTTTTGTCTTCCTTTTTCTAATATTTTCCGTCAATATGCAAAAGTGGTGATCGGACTCCAAAACAAAAGGTTAAGTTAAAAGTTACAGAAGAAAAGCTATTGAATTTGATGCTGAAGTACAATGGTGGAAACACAAAAGCTGAGGTGATTCTCATGTTCAATATTGTCTTTACAGTTTCTATCATATTTGATTGCTGTCTTTTACAACTTGTAAACTTTATTGCAGACAAAACTTAAAAGTGCTGTTCAGTTACAAGATCTGTTAGATGCCACCCGTCTCCTTGTTCCACGTGCAAGGTACTTGTCAAAGTTAAAAAGCCTACTTAGATATGTTCATGATGGTCTCTTTTCTACAATATGCAGAACCATCATTAAGCCTGAATGGCAATGGTATTCAAGTTACATAAAAAAAATTAACAAAATTCTAAGTCTATTAATCTTTTGTTTGTTGTCATTGGACCTAAAAGTTTTATGCTATATAAGCTAGACTGACCATCTGAGAAGACCCTCATGGAACTTGCTTTCTTGGTAAACAAGGCATAGATGAAGATGCTCGGGCCGCTAAAATTGACAATTTTTCTCCCTGAACTATCTTTTGTTATAGTAAAATAAGATTCATAGTTATATATATACAAGGATTCTGGCTGGAAGAAAACAGAGCTGTATGTATTATTTGTTATATGGAATAACAGGACTCTATACTTTCTTTTATCCCTTTTGTTCTAACTTGTTTCTTGTTTACTATGAGAAAACAGTTTAATGACAAGATTGATAATTTAATAAAGAACTGCTCATTACGAGGATTTAAAACAAGTTCTTGCATCAAGAATTCAACATTTGGGCAGATTGAAGATTAATCAAACCAGCAGACATTTCTGATGAAGGTTCATCATCAGCCAAATTTTTATAATTTTTCATAAATGTTGAATGTGATAAGGCCCTAAAGTCTTATCGTCGCTCTGATACCAAATGGTAAGACCCTAAAGTCTTATCGTAAAAAAGAAGAAGAGAAATGGATGATCACTTCGAGAGGATCGGCCCTCCTTGATCGCTTCAAGGGGATCGGCCTCCTAGGGTTTGTCAAAAGACAGAATATTATTTTTCATAGATAACGGAAAAGAAGCAGTTACATTTCTATTTATAGAGTTTCGACTTTAGTTGAACTAAACAGACTTAATAAATACGCAGAAAATAAAAGAAAAGCACAGAAAATAAAAGGAAAACTAAAAGGATCCTAACAATCCCGCCTCCTTCAATTCAACCTTGTCCTCAAGGTTGAGCAGCATCAAATTCTGGAAACTTCTCCTTTAGCATGCTATAGGACTCCCAAGTGGCATTTTCCTTTGGTAAGTTGGCCCATTGCACCAGCACTTCAGTTACAGGATGCCTATGGTACATTACAACTCGTCGATCAAGTATGGCTTGTGGTTGAGCTTGAACTTCCCCAGTAGTAGAAGTGTCCGACAAATGGCATTGCACTATTGTATCTTCACCCAATTTCCTTTTAAGGCATACAACATGAAAGACTGGATGTATTTTAGAGCTAGCAGGCAAATCCAAGCGGTAGGCAACTGGTCCAATGCGTTTTAATACCTTATAAGGCCCAAAAAACCGAGGAGATAGCTTCATGGAAGATCGGACCTTTATGGAAGTTTGCTTGTAGGGTTGAAGACGAAGGAAAACCCAATCACCCACAGTAATTCTCGTTCACTTCGGTGTTTATCAGCTTGTTGTTTCATTCTTGCTTGTGCAGCTGTGAGGTTATCCTTTAAAAGCTGAATAATCTTGTTTCTATCCATCAATTCCTTGTCCACTTGATCAACTTTAGAAGACCCGGGTATATATTTTGTAATTGTAGGTGGGGGTTGACCATAAACTGCTTCAAATAGAGTTATTTTAATAGAAGAATGGCAAGAGGTATTATACCGCCACTCTACCCAGGGAAGCCATTTAATCTATTCCTTCGGCTTGTCGCTAGTAAAGCATCGGAGGTAATTTTCTAGGCACCTGTTTACCACTTCAATTTGCCCATCTGTTTGTGGATGATAAGCAGTGCTCATATTCAGTTGAGTACCTTGTAAACGAAAAAGTTCTGTCCAGAAGGAGCTAGTAAAAATCTTGTCTCTGTCACTAACAATGGAACGGGGACTCCCATGCAATTTAGCTATGTTTTCCACAAAAATACGAGCAACACTTACAGCAGTATAAGGATGTCGTAAAGCACAGAAATGAGCATACTTTGTAAGCCTATCCACGACTATAAGTATAGTACTCTTTCCTTGAGATGGTGGGAGACCGTTAATAAAATCCATAGATATGTCAGTCCAAGTAGCATCAGGAATAGGGAGGGGCTGTAGTAAGCCTGGGGTGGCTACTGTCTCACTTTTGTGACGTTGGCAAATATCACATTCAGTAACAAATTTCTTGATAAAATTTTTCATACCTTTCCAGTAAAAAAGTTGTCGAACTCGCTTATAAGTGCGGAGAAATCCCAAGTGACCAGCAATTGGTGATGGAATGGAACTCCTTCAGAATTATTGCATGGCAAGAAGAATGTGGGGCAACCACTATTCGGCCTTTATAGCGCAAGTCCATCGAATCCCAACTATAATTTGAGACAGAACCTATGGCTTCTTCTAATTTTTTAATGATGTTTTGGATCTCAGGATTATCTGACCATTCCCTTCTGATAACTTCCAAAGTCTCGCAAATAGGAATAGAAATAACTACAAGTTCAGCTTGTTCTGGAAGGCGTGAGAGGGCATCTGTTACTAAATTCTCACTCCCCTTTTTATAAACGATCTCATAATCGAATCCCATTAGCTTTGTGACCCATTTCTGCTGTTCTGAAGAAGAAATCTTTTGCTCTAGAAAATATTTGAGGCTTTTGTGATCAGTGCGTATTTGAAACTGTCGACCAATTAGGTAGGGTCTCCATTTTGTGACTGCATGTATTATGGCTAGCATCTCCTTGTCATAAATAGATAAACTCAAATGGGAAGGGGAAAGAGCCTTACTAGCATAAGCGATAAGCCAACCTTCCGGCATTAATACAGCCCCTATTCCAGCTCCAGAAGCATCAGATTCAATCATAAATATCTTATTAAAATCGAGTAGAGCAAGCACGGGTGTAGTAGTCATTGTAGTTTTCAAGAAATGAAATGCCTGAGTTGCCTCTTCTGACCATTTGAATGTATTTTTCTTTAGAAGTGACGTCAAGGGGGCACTAATTTTGCCATAATTCTTCACAAACTTTCGATAATAGCCTGTTAGTCCCAAGAACCCCCTTAAAGCTTTGATTGACTTTGGAATTGGCCAGTCTGTCATCACTTGGATTTTTAAAGGATCAACTGCAACACCCTTTTGAGATATGATATGGTCGTGGTACTCAACCTCTGGTTGCCCAAAACTGCACTTGGATTTCTTGACAAAAAGACCATGCTCACGAAGAATATTAAAGATAATTCGTAAATATAATAAATGACTTTCTAGGGAATGACTGTATATTAAAATGTCATCAAAGAAAACCAAAACAAACTTACGGAGATGAGCCCGAAATATATCATTCATTAAACTCTGGAAGGTAGAGGGTGCATTGGTTAACCCAAAAGGCATTACTAGAAACTCATAATGGCCGTTATGTGTCCTGAAGGCAGTTTTCTGAACATCACTTTCATGTACTCTGATTTGATGATAGCCCGATCGTAGGTCCAATTTAGTGAAGATATGAGCTCCTCCCAATTCATCCAACAATTCATCCACTACTGGAATAGGATATTTATCTTTCACTGTAATGTTGTTAAGTGCTCGATAGTCGACACACATCCACCATGAGCCATCCTTCTTTCTGACTAGTAAGACTGGGGAGGAATATGGGCTAACACTAGCTCGTATAACTCCTATTTTGAGCATCTCTGTGACAATCCTCTCTATCTCTGCATTTTGGAAATGTGGATATCTATAGGGTCGGACATTGGTTGGTGCCTTCTCGGGTAATAGTGGGATCCAATGATCATGACATCTAAGAGGTGGAAGTCCGTGTGGCTCTGCAAATATATCTGCAAACTCTGTTAGCAATGATTCAATATTTCCAGCCGGAATGTTCACTATCATTTCCTTTTCAATGTTATGCAATTGCATCAAAAATCCGGTGTGTGTCTTCCGAAGGACCCGCTCCATCCGATGGCTAGTGATAGTTGTAACCTTACCTCTACGTTTTCCTTTGAGAGTCACCTGCCTTCCATTAATAAAGAACTTCATAATTAGTTTAGAAAAATTTCAGGGGACATCACCTAAGGTTGATAGCCATTCAATTCCAAGCACCACTTCATAGTCTTTCAAGGGTAATAAAAAGAAATCCACAAATAATTCTTGACCTTGCAAAATCAGTTTGATCTTTGAGCACTTGCTGTCACAGGTTAAAATCCGTCCATCGGTGACCTTGACTTTAAATTTGTCACAACATTCGATGTGGTAAGCTAATCGGGCTGCAACCTTCCTATCTATAAAATTATTAGTGCTACCCGTATCAATCAAAATAGTGACAGACTGGTGTTTCAGAGTTCCCCCAATTTTCATAGTTTGTGGATTAGAGTAGTTAGTCAATGCATGCACTGTATGTGTGACGGCTTCAACAACATCATCAATTTCCACTTCTTCATGATCGGAATCCGATACTTCTACTTCTGGTTCCTCCTCGATCGGTTCAATCATCAAAAGTCTTCCTTGTTTGCATCGGTGCTCCTTACTCCACTTTTCATCGCAATGCCAGCACAAACCCTTCGCTAACCTTTCTTTGAGTTCTTCTCGGGTTAGTCTGCTAGTGTTATGGTTTCGACTAGGAGTAGATGAGATAAGTTGCCTGCTAATCACCTGTTTATTGGCACCTCTATTTCGACGATATTCCACACTGATTTTTTCCTCATGTAGGCGTGCAAATGAAATCGTAGCCATCATAGTGCGGGGTTAACGAGCCTTAACCTCGCACCGGATCTCGGGAATAAGCCCTTCAATAAATGTACCCAGAAGTTGTCGTTATGACCAATCTCTAGCTTGGTTAGACAATCTTTCAAATCTACTCTGATATTCCAACACTGTAGAAGTCTGACGAATTTTAGCGAGTTAGCCATCAATATTCTTATATTCGGATGGGCCAAAGCGAACAAGAATCCCTCTTTTGAATTGCTCCCACGAAGGAACTCCATGACAAGTTTCGTACCAATCATACCACTGGATTGCATCTCCATCGAGCTGGATTGAGGTCACTTCTACCTTGGATTCTTTTGGGGTTCTGTGAAAACGAAAAAAATTTTCCGCCCTAGAGATCCAATTGGTCGGATCTCCATCTTCCCATCGTGGAAATTCTACCCTGATGCGTGGGTAGTGTGTGTCACCACCCTGGGGCCCTTTTCCTGTATCTCTCAATCTGTTCAACGTAGAACTTGAGCTCTCATCTTGTTGAAACCCGCTAAAGTGCTCTAATAAGCTCTTTTTGAAATCATGATGAGTTTCTTGTAGCCGATTCTCAATTCTGGTTTCTAACGCTTCTATTTGTGCCTTCACTGAGTTATCGGCAGCCATTGCGTACGATTGTAAGTCGGTAATCCCCAGTTCTTGTTTCTGTTGTCTAGTCAAGGGCATCTGCACAGTAGCTGGGCAGTAGCAGCGACGGTGGCGGCAGCCGGCGTTCGCAGCAGCAAGGGAACCCACGCGACTGTGGCACGGCTGGAAACAAGGGCAGCAAGGTGACTTGCCTGTGCTTGCTCTGTTTTGGTTACAGAGGATGCAGAGCAAGGGGGAGCGCTGGCTGGAGGCGAGCAGCGGTCGTCGCACGGTGGCTGGCAGCAGTGGTGGGTTGGCTGGGCGGCGACGGCGCTTGAGGGGAAGAGGAGTGCTGGAGGAGGCACGGCTGGAAACAAGGGCAGCAGCGGTGAGTTGCCCTGTTTCGATCGCCGTGAGGAGGGGGGGCAACCGGCGGCTGCGACCTGGGGGGGGGTGGGGCACGATGGCAGGGAAGTTAGGGCAGCATCGCCGATAGTATCAAGGTGGTCCGCTGGCAGGGAGACGGCGCCGGTGGTCCTTCTCGCTCGAGCGAGATGGGGAAGCGAGGAGGAGAGGTCGCTGGCCGGGGGGGCAGCGGCGGCGTTGGTCGATCGGCCGCGAAGCAGCGCCAGCGGTGAGAAGGAGGCAGCAAGGGTCGTTGTACGGTGCGGCCTGCTGGAGAGCAGGGGTGGCGGTGGGGGAAGAAGGGAAGCAGGGGACCCTTCTCGGTGGCCGTTGGGTAACACCTTTTTTTTTTTTTAATAGCTACGGTGCAGCGAGAACGCCAAGGATCGCCGCTCTGATACCAAATGATAAAACCCTAAAGTCTTATCGTTGCTCTGATGCCAAATGGTAAGACCCTAAAGTCTTATCGTAAAAAAGAAGAAGAGAAAGAGATGATCACTTCGAGGGGATCGGCCTCCTTGATCGCTTCGAGGGGATCGGCCTTCTAGGGTTTGTCAAAAGACGGAATAGTATTTTTCATAGATAACTGAAAAGAAGCAGTTACATCCCTATTTATAGAGTTCCGACTTTAGCTAAACCAAACAGACTTAATAAATACGCAGAAAATAAAAGGAAAGCACAGAAAATAAAAGGAAAAATAAAAGGATCCTAACAGAATGCTGTAATTTAGCAGTTTATTTGAAAGATGATGAAGCTATTATTAGTGTTGAAAACCCCCTTGAACTGAATTGGATAAGAGGAGAAAGAGGAGAAGAGGCATTATGAGTAGGAGGTGGAGGTGGAGGTGAAGGACAAGGTAGTGGGCCACTGGTGGTTAGCGGCACGAGTAGGTGGCAGCAATCAGCTTAGGATGCAGAGCTATAGGGTTGACTGATCAAGAGATAGATGGAGAGAAAGAGGGAGGGGGTGCAGAAAGAAATTTATTAAGGGTTTTTAATCACAAACCTTGAACCTGCATGAACTGCCAAAATGGACTGGTTCACGACCAAGTTCTCCTTCGGAACGGTATTTACTGCCTGGCTGGCACCAGTCAAGGCTTTCTAAACCATGGTTGGGACTTGGGAATGTGCTTGATGAGAGCCAAATGCATCACTGTTAGCAAAACTAATTCTTAAAGTTAGTTATTTGGAGGAAATTGAGACAGGTATAGAATAATTCCTAACCCATCACATATTAAAAATTATAAAATAATTTCAGGCTGATGCAGATTGACCAGTAATTGGTGCAGATTCCTAATCTATCACATTTTTTCTTATTTGTATTTATGATCATTTATGTGACTAGCAATTGGTGGAGATTGACATGGAATGTGTTAAATTTGGTTGCTCATACCTTAAATAAGTAAAAATAAGAAAAAAACTAGAGGAAGACATGTTATCATTGAATTGCTTACGAAGGACCCAATTGCAGAATCATGGATAAGCTCATGATGCAGAATCTTATAGTTCATTATGGATGATATGTCATGACCAATTTCAAGCCATTGTTTAACAGTCTCAACTTTGTAAACACAGCTATGTGTCGTCACATGGATGGCATGGTGTCAAAATACCTAACTAGAGCCTAGTGTCAAAATACCTAACTAGAACCTAAACAGCTTCAATAAGAAGTGCTTATATGATATGATGCCCAATAGGCATGAAATATTGGTTGGTGATGTTCCCATTTCATGCATAAGCTCCCAACCAATTATCTTGCTTTGGCTCGAGAAATATGTGATACATCACTCTGGCGGTATCTTTTGTTATATTATGCATGGTAGTCGCCACACGGTTACCATTAATATAAGTTTATAACATGCATGGCATATGTTCACTGACTGGGATGCATAATATAAAGGTACACAGAATATGGTATGCCGGTAATTTGCTAGCATGATATGTACCTTATGCATCGGCATAAGCAATATATAAAATTTTTGTGTGCTTCTTGAGAAATACAATAATTTAATGATGCCTTCCATATGTATCATGACAAAGTAACTAAAATATATGCTTTAGTTCCGGACGTGAGAGTGATAGTGATGCTGAAGATATGGAGCATGCTGACAAACTTCACCAAGTCAAGGCAGTGCTTGAGGAGGTAAATTATTGTTGTAAGATCTCTTATTGGCTTCCTAAATTTTAATATGCAAATATGTCACTATCATCTTGCTCTTTGTAGTGCTGAGTTGCTTTCATCTTATATGAAACTTTTATCTCAAACCTATGAAATGGTAGATACCAGTTGTCTTATTTGAATTTTTATTGATATAACTGTTGTTAATTCCTAGTTTTATGTACAGTAATTTTTTCTACTTGATACATTATTTCCTCTATCATGGTCTTATGGAGGTGTTACTATGGACGATATCAAGTGGCCTTGCTGTAGGCAAATTTGTTCCAAGATAATCTGATTTTGACATTTCCAAATAACTTGATTGTCACCATACTAATATATTCAGTTTCTTGTCCATATATCATGAAAAAAAAGTTTTAACTTTGGGAATCTTAGACTTCAATGTGGCAGGACATGTGACACTGACAGCCATATGTGGTACATGGCATGGCATGCTTGCACATGGAAGCATCAATGTTATGTTGTACTGTTGTAGTATATATAGATAAATTTTAAATATATATAACACCAAAGGACTCAACTTGAAAATGTATTGGGATCATTTTTATCAGATTATGATCCTCATCATAATCGCTTGCTTATCCTTGAGGTCCAAGTTAACTTACTGTCACGGACAAACTTCTCAACAAGATGTTTGATGTAATGCTTATGTATGTCCGTGTCTTTTGGCATGTTCATGCCTTGTACAGAATGTAGAGGGGCGGCCGAAGGCTTAATAGTCCCACTTTAGTTGGGTTGGTGGCCTCTTTAGGCTTGTAAATAAAGGTTGTGTCATGTGGACACGTGCGAGAGCTTTTCGGTCTGTAATGGACCATTTTACCCTTTGTTGTGCCACTGTTCAGAGCTTGTAAAGTCTGTTTGTAATTTGCATTGTCTATGAAGTGTTTTTCGGACATGTTTGCTTGTGGATCCCAATTGAGGCGTTCTCTTTTGCCTGTTCTCTCTTTTGTTGGTCCTAAGGGACAATGGGAGTCTTCGGGGAGGCTGACCTTTGCGGAAGGACACGCAAGGGTGCCGCACGACTTAGGCAAAACCAGCTAAGTCCGTGTCATTACGTTAGCCAAGATACTAAAGTTGTCTTATCATGTCTTCTGATTTAAGAATGTGTTGAGATCTGTCATGAAAAAAATTATGACACCCTAGAACATCAATTATCATTGTTCTCTATGCTGATTTCAGCATTTGGCTTTCCCTTTCCAACATATATGTTTTGTTAGTGCTTTTTCATATTATTCCATTCGTCCTCTTTTCTAATGAAAAATATTTGCATTAGTAGTACTATCTGCATTAGCTTATAAAACATAAGATTTTATTGTTATGCTGTAGGGTGGACATTTTTCAGGTATCTACAGAAAAGCACAACTAAAACCACTGAAGTGGGTTAAAGCTTCAAAACCTGATGGTGGTGGTGAATTTGAGCATCCGGTTGAGGCTCTAATGGTTCTGAAGTATGGCGGTGTTTTAACACATGCTGGAAGAAAGCAGGTAAACTTTTATGTCTGGTTTATCTAATGATCCCTTTTTAACTTGGCATAAGATATTAAGTTCCTCTCCAGAAACAATCAGAATATTCAATCATTCAATTGTGGCAGATGGACTTTGTTCTCTCTGTGCCTCAATAAATAGCAGATGTGATATGTAATATGATCTCAATATACTTTTCCTGTCATCTTAACACTAATTTAGAGCAAGAGGAAAATGAATTGTCCATTTAATGGATTTTAATGGTGTTGCATTTATTTCAATTTCAAAATTGTGAGCCTTCTTTGTTTATCTTTTTGACCAGGCAGAAGAACTTGGAAGATACTTCCGGAACAATATGTATCCAGGTTATATATGTTTTGGCTTTATTTATTGCCTTTTTCTTAATCTGTTCAAATTTTACTGCTCTAGAATCCTGCAGATTCCCATTGACATGATAAGAAATTAAGAACAACTTCATTTGCAAAAGATTGTGTTCAGTCCAGGGTTTTAACACTGGTAGAATACAAGTGTTGAACAACTTAACAAACTGTGTGAACTAAAATATTGACTAGTATAGGAACCAAAGTCTTCAATTTCGAATAATACCACCCGTACCCGGTCCGCCAGTAAACCGGTACATGGGCCGCCCGCTATTAGGCGGTATTTTTTTTACTTATATATATATATATATATATATATATAAAGTCGTCGAGGTTACCACGTGGGGAGAAGAGAGGTGACGTCGTGATTTTTTTTTACTTATATATATAAAGGCGATGTCGCCTCGTTTTCTGCGACGTCGCCTCGCCTGGGGAGAAGAGAGGCGACATCGCCAAAAAAGATTCTTTTTTACTTTATATATATATATAGTACCGCTAGGTATACGGTTCCGTACTATACCGAGCGAATCTCGAAACTCCGGTGCAGTATGATATTTCAATCCTTGATAGGAACCATACCATTATTTGTAGTATACCAGGTGTACTAAGTTATATGTTTCATTGATGATGCTTGGTTGGATAGGTATATACCAGTTGGTACATAACGGTGTGACCAATATATTAAATCATAGTTCATTGACTTAAGTCAACTTTGTATCAATATCTGAAGTCTGAACATTAGCTTGAGTCAGGGGTGTATGGCTTTGTGGCTAACCATTTGGGTTGAACATATTGATGATTTTACGTGGATCTATCCAATATTACCATTTGTATAGCAGGTGGTCTATGAGAATGAAGTTCTCTACAGATGTAGTTGCCAGCAGCGCTTAAAATCTTGGACTCGTATTAATTGTACTGTTGCATACAATTGGTACCAATCAATGTCCAAAAGTAACACCAAAATACCAATTTTGACATAAGGCTGGTGCCCTAGTATACCAGTGTACGTAGTGCTTCAACTGGGACACGTAGTTGGACCTGCACATGCTGATCAGAATATACCAATCTGACCAAGTACTACCGGTATTGAAATTTGAAACATATAGCTTGGAGCCTTGGAATCATACATATACAATATTTTACTTTTTATTATTTTATTCAATGATGCCATAATGGTTTGTTAGGTTATGAAGCCGATATTACACCAGTATATAAAACTTTGCTGCTTGGTGTACCGCAAGATTCCAAATCATGGTTGCAGGAAAATTATACAACTCAAAAGTCGTAACTCTACATGATACATCATTCTTTCGGACATTGATTTAACATATCTAAGTAGCTGAGGCAACTTTTTAATTGGGAAAAAAAAACAAAGTTATTACAGTTGATCCAATTCTTCAAAACTTTGATGGCATTATCATAGAAGAGGTGAAGAATTACCCAAACTACTTACATTTCATTATTTGATTAGTCACAAAATAAAAACAATTATCTTGTTTTTCTTTCATGAAATTAATGCTCATGCTTTTGTTTCGTAAAATTGATATGGACTCAAAAGTGTGATCATGGCTGTACTGATGGATTTAATTTTCCCACTAAATATGTAAGATAATGAACCAACTTCATCCAGTAATAGAACCCTAGGAGTGATTGTTTCCTTAAAAGCCTAATATTACTGAATACTTGTGGACAAACTTCAGTTCACTTATGATCATACTTGGACACATATATTACCAATGTGATCACAGAGGAACCCATTATAATCACTGTAATGTCATATTGGCAACTGTCAAGGTATTCTCTTAAGTTACTGGTCAACAGATTACTATTTTGATATAATTTTTTCTCTGAACTATTGACTTGCTCGAGTTAATTGTAATTAAGAGCATTGGTTATTGCTCAAAAGCCACACTCGTTTACTGTACAAGTATTTGAACTTTGAGCTGACAAAAATTGGTTTGTCATTACCAATTATGCGACCTGATTTTATATGTTGTCTGTTCACATTGTAAGCTTTTCACTTTACTATGAGCCTATATTTTAAATTTTTAACCATTCTTCTTTTAAAGAAAACATGTCTTTTGAGTTTAATTATTGAGTTTCAAGATGGACAATTTAATTTCTGTCAATTATTGAGTTTCATTAGTTCTCAGGAACTATGAAAACAAACCTTTATATTTTGTGAAGACATTGGTTAACTAAGCAAAAGGATTTGATGATGATTGCTTGATGCGGATATCATATTCACCAGCAACAAACAGTGAAAACAACTCAAAGTACAATATATGCTCTGGTGGACAGTTTTCTGGTGGCCTTACTGGTTTCCCAAATATCCTATTTATATGCCCAGTAATTGATGAAGCTCTTTTCTTTGAAATATTTTAGGTGAAGGTACTGGCTTGCTTCGGCTTCATAGTACTTACCGACATGATCTAAAAATTTACAGTTCGGATGAGGGACGTGTTCAGGTACATGATAAAATACTATAACTGCCTCTAATAATAATTTGATCTTTGATTTTCTGTTGCATATCAAAACATTTTCTGTTAGCTTTTCAGTGCACTATGAATATAGCTTATCTGCACTAAGTTCTTTTATAGATGTCTGCTGCAGCATTTGCCAAAGGCCTTCTTGATTTGGAGGGACAACTGACTCCAATTTTGGTTATCATCCAGCTCCTTTAAGCTTTTTCTTTTTCGAAACTTTTCTGGTATGTCTTATCTTGTTTTTTTCTTTTGTCAGGTTTCACTTGTTAGTAAAGAATCTTCTATGTTGGATGGACTAGAAGATGCTCGTCCTGAGATGAAAGTGGCAAAGGTTCATATAGGGTTATGCTAATACCTGCAACTTGTACCGTAAAACCACTAGTTATTAATAGTTGACTTCTTCATAGTTCAATTGTGATCACCTTGTAGTGGTCCATGATCCAATATGATTTAAAAATTTGTATTATATATTTATTGAATGAAAACATTACTTCTTTAAGTTTCTAACACATACTTGATATATGAAAGTGTATTAGTAAACAGTCCAGGTACTTCAATTGAACCACTAGTCATTAATAGGTGACTTCTTCATAGTTCTTCATAGTTCAATTGTCATAATCTTTTAGTGGTCCATGATCCAATATGATTTAAAAATTTGTATTATATATTTATTGAATGTAAACATTTCTTCTTTAAGTTAACATATACTTGATATATGAAAGTGTCTTAGCAAACAGTCCAGGTACTTAGCTTAGACAATTGAACTAGTAAATAGGCATGGTAAACTAGTAGGAACCAACAACGATAGATGAACGATAGATGATATTTTCAGATGATAATTTCAATAATGGATTGACTAGAAGCAGGAACGTAGTCATGGGCCCATTGTTCTCTAAGAAACATTGATCATGTTAATGTTTCTGTCCTTCCTAGAAATTGTAGGTTACATTATCATAAAAAAGAGGTGTGAGTTCTTTCATACTTAAATTGACTTTAAATTGCTGATTTTATTTTTGCTTGGATTGTTAGCATGCTGTTTTTGCATGGCACCTGGTATACATCATGAAATTATGGAGAACTTTATAATCTTGTTGAGTGTTTATTTTTTAATCAGATCTTTTCTTGTTAATATATGTTAAACATGATCAAGGAGAATTGTCTTATCTCTTTAACTGTCTGTGTTAACTGTGTAGTAGAACATTTGAATATCTTGATCTTATCATTTTATTTATGCTGCAAGCTTTCTTAGTGTTTCCTACATTTAATAATTTAAATATCAAAATTGTTTCATTCACCAAATGACATATTTAATGTTTATTTTATGAAGAACATGTGTATGTTACGGTTTGTTGCTTGGAGCTGCTAATACAAGGACTCAGTGATCACACAAATAACTTTGTCAAATGGTTATGTAGTTTGTAAATTTTAAGAAAATGATGTAAAACTTTTTTCTTGTAGCTTAATGTTTACCAAACTTTTCAGGCTAGATTGCATGATATCATAATTTCAGAAGGAAAATCAGTCACTAGAAATGGGTCACCTTGGATGGTTGATGGAGCTGGTCTACCTGCCAATGCATCTCAACTTCTTCCTCTTTTGGTATGTTAACTTTTATCTGCTATCTGGCGTTTTCTCCCAAATTTCTGGATTTCTTTCCAAATAATTATTCCCGTAATGTATCAAATTAGATAGAATTTTTCAAGAATGTTCTTTAAAATGGTTATCTGAGTGTTGGTTCTTTGCGCACTAATTTTAACTGATTTTAGTCATGTTAAGTATTTAAATGTGGCTTCTTTTTTTGAAGCATGTTATTGGTTCTTCACACACTTTCCTGACATTATTATGACCACACTTTTGAGATAGTTTAACTAGCCATTTCTTAATAGAATTAAAAATATTCTAATAATTGTATTTAAAAGGTCAAGGGATGTGGAATTCCTTTCTCTACGAAGTATAGCTGCAATTTGCTACAGAGTTAATCTCACCATTAGGAACTTAAAAGCTAAAAGTAAAATTGGCCTTCAGCCAGTGATTCTCAATTGCTGGAGCTGAAACTTTTTGAGAATGTCTTGATGCGGAAGTTGTTGGCTTATCTTATATTATTTTGTTATACATACATGCTTTTGTCATGCCAAAGAATGCTATTCAGTGATGGTACAAACTTGCACTGATATAGTACAGAACCATGTTAATGCATGCAATGGTTAACATGGTTATATGGCTTCACACTCAAATTTCAAAAGCAGTATGAATTTTTAATCTTATATAAGGTTTATATGATTGTTTAAATAGGGTGTTAAATATTGGTTGGACACAAAGTAACCAATTGGTCCGATCAAGCATTGGTTTCACTTTCTATTTTACTCATTTTCCTTTTTTATTATTTTTCTAGTAAAAACAGTTGGTTTAGGTTAGTATACACAGTATCAGGATTTTCTTTCACTGACTAATGGTTGAAGGGGGTTTGAGAGAGCGTTTGAAACCTTATTTTTAAGTGTATATGAATCCTTCCGATCTTATCATCCTTATTGCTTGTCGGCTTCATTTGATCACCACTTTTGTCATGAGTCTGAATCAAGGAGTTTCCTTAATTTGTGGTCCAAAATCTATGGGGACCCAACCTAATTGAATGGTTGATTCTCCTAATCGTCATACAGTATATTGAATTTTCTCTCTTCTCTCTCATAGTCATCTTTAAGATGGAGGCAAATATTATAATTCACAAATGAATAGGCGAACTTTTTGAACCGTCAATACATGAGAAATTTATGTGGACAAGCTAGTACTGAATGCTTTAGTGGATTTCATGTATTGGTAGGCACAGTTATGGTAGACAATGAGAGTGTATGGTGATGATTAGTGAGGAAGGATGGCAGTGAAAGAAAGTATCACTTTGAAGGAATGACATGAGAACTGTGGTGGTTTATTAGGCTCCAGATCGGCAAAATTTGATAGGTTGTTCCTCAATTATCCTATTTATTCTGATCTGTAGAGTATTTTGACAAATCAGATGGTTTGATTTTGGGGGAAAAGAATTGGATGATTAAGGATAATTCTAATTTATATTCAAAGAAGGAAAAAGAGAAGAGAGGTAGAAGGGAGAATAGAGGGGAAGGGAAGGGATCAAATGGTAAACAAGGAGGGAGAAAAAAGAAATACTATGGACCATGGAGAAGCAGAAATAAAGTGATAGTTCAATCGCTAGTTGTGTCAGAATATAGGAAATTGCATTGGAAGTCACAATGGATAATGCAAAAACTGAAGCTCCTTAATGAAGCTGAAATAAAGTGAAGCATGCCCGGCTAGTTGGTTTGAATTACTTAAATTGGATATGGTATCATCAATTATATCAAATGAAGATTAAAATTGTTCAAGTCAAATCGACCATTTTTGGGTCACACATCACACATTATGAGTCGATTCTCTGGCCATATATTGTTCAATAACTGATCAAGGACCCATATGAGCCCTGATCTCTAAGGGGTCTGCTGAAACCCATTCAATCACCATGAGCATTAGATCCCTCATTCTCAGTAGGCCATTTGATGCCCATGATATGAACCTTTACCTTAGGTATTTTTAAGATCTATCTAGTGGTTGAATTTCAACTGATTAATTATTTAAGGGCCAGGATCGGCCCACCTGATCTGAATGGTTTTATCAGTTCATCTAGTCGTCATAGGTTGTCCAGTAAATGGATCAGAAGGCCTAAAGAAAAATTGTTAGCTTGTTTGTTTCCATAAATAAGTCAAAGGATGTATTGTAACTTCATTATCACAAATAGATGGTGAACAATTGCTCCAATTGATTTGAAATTTTGAAGAACAACATGTGCAGTTTTAACAAGTTTCTGTCAATAATTTAATAAATTGGAATGTCAGATGTGGAAGCAAGTATTTTAACTAGGATCTGTTTTTCTTCTTTAGGCAATATATGCCTAGTGTTCTTGAGAAGGTTGATTAGCAAAAATAGTGTTTTTTTTTTACTTCTTTTTCTTGGATAGGTTCAACTAACAAAGAAGATAACTTCTCAAGTGAAGCTACTAGCTGAAAATGAGGATGAGAAGCTTGCAACCAGCAAATACACAGTACTGCCTCCCTATGACCAAGCGAAGGCCCTGGGGAAAACGACCATTGATGCTGCTCGTATAGCTGCTGGGTTGCCTTGTGGTAGTGAAGGTTTCCTTTTAATGCATGCACGTTGGAAGAAGCTCGAGAGGGACCTGTATAATGAAAGAAAAGAGTATGTTATTTTTGCAAATATGATAGTGGCTTGTAGCCTGTGGTACCTGATCAACTAACATTAGTTCTTTATACACTTTTTCCAAATTTGAAAACTTGGTTCATGAATTGTTTCTAATCATAATATTATTTGATATCAGGAAATAACTTAAATGTTTTGTAATTTTGCAGCCGATATGATGTCACGCAAATTCCAGATATCTATGACTCCTGCAAGTAAGTTATATCTCAAATTGAATGTCATTTGTGAAGTGTTTTTTTTTTCTGAAGGAAAATGAGAATGAAGATCTATATAGGCAAGTTTGCTATCCTTTTCTGCAGCAAAGTCTATAATATTTTTTAACATTTTCTAACCCATTTGGGAAAAAAAATAATAGTAGAAATTTGCTATGCAACATTTTTTTAGGCAAAATGCTATATCACAATCTTATTGCATCAAGATGGAAAAAATACAAGAAAAAAGGGAAAATTTTAAACAAAATTAGGAAATTAGGGAGAAGCAAAGAAAAATAGAATGACAAAGTGCACTGCAATTTTCTAGTGACAAAAAAGTTTAGTGATAAAGAGGATGACAGTATCCTCTTGACACTAGTAGGATCAGATGGATGCCTTAAGAAAATCCTACTGTCTCACTTTTCCCAAATGGCCAACATAGAAGCAGGATAAAATGATCTCCATATGTATTTGATTAAGGGATATTATTATACTCTTCAAAATCCCCAGCTTTGAGAATTGGAAGGCAAGGTGAAGGGACATGTGAGTTTGACAATAAGGTGTCAACTCTCCTACCATGAAAGGTCAAGGGTTTACAAACTTAGATCCTCCAAAGTCAAAACAAATCATAAGTTTGCAAGATAATACAACCTAGTCCCACTAAGCAATTATGTTATCCACTGACTTAATCACACAATCTGGATTTGTCAGCAAGTTCCACAATAGTGTTCCAACTTGTTGACACTAAAAACTTGTATCTGAGAATAAGATTTGCATAAATGCATGCAAAAACAAAAAAAGAAATGCAGATAATTAGCAGTTTTACAAGTGGATAATTTTATGACAAATTTTCTGCTGGGAATCAGGGAGATATGAACAAGTAAATGGAGGTGAGAGTGGTCTGGGCCAGTTGTGCTTTTGGTACATGGATAGAGGGTAGAGAGGGGACGTCAGTGGTGGTGGAGAGAGGAGAAGAGGGAGTAGAGAAAGTCGGTAGCACAAGAGTTGGGACAGGAGGGGGTGGGAAAGGAGGGTGGTGGCAAGCTGGTTCTTGGTCATGGAGAGATGGGAGGGAGGGAGGGGTGGAGAGAAGAGTGAGCAGCAGAAGAGGGAGGAGGAAGGAGGATGGAGGGAAGGATGGCAACAGATGAAACTGGCAATGTTAGACACTGGAGAAGAGAGAACAGAAGAGGGGACAAAAGATGGAGGAGGAAGTGGGGAGCCAGCAGTACTTCTTGGTCACAAAGAGAGGGCAGGGAGGGTGGGGACGAGTGAACACAAAATGATGGGTAGCATGGTGACAGTAGAAAATAGATGATGAAAAGGGGAAAGTTGGGTGGAGAGAGAGAGAGAGAGAGAGAAGGGACCAGCAAAGGGAAGGAAGGAAGAACCGGTTGCAAAAATTGATGTAGACTGAGATTTAAATCCGTAATTAGTATTCTTGTGCTACAAGTTTTTGTTTTCGATCATGACAGTTTCAAGGTAATGTGAAAATGTCTAGTACTATAGTATTGGTATTTGGTATGAAAACATACATTCATTCATGCATATAATAAGTTTTATTTTTTAATTCTTTTTAGGCATTACAAATGTTTCTATGGACATGAAAGTTATTAAATCCAACCTAATTATATTGATTTTTTAGTTTGTAACATATTTGTACATAGTGACACATGATTCTCTACATGGCTACATGTACAATAGATCCTAGGAAAATTCATGTGTAGCATCTGATGTTTCATATGTACCTTGCATTGAAGTGAACCTTGCTTTTAGAGCTGTTTTTTTATTGAACTTTGTAATTATGTTTTTTTAATAACTGAATGTGGCCATTTTGGTGCTGTTCATCATGGCTGTGTATGTCTTTCTAGAATCAATACTTATCATAATGTATTTAAACATATCTTGAGATATCTTGTGTTTTTCCTGTCTACTATATTACAGATATGACCTCGTACATAATGCGCATCTTAATCTGGAAGGTTTACCCGAGCTTTTCAAAGTTGCTCAGGTAAGCATGATACATCTATCTCTGCCAAAATGCTACTTTTTGTTGCTACAAAAATTTATCTTATTGAGTGTGAATATGTACATGTTTGACAGATACAGAGGAAAATTAAAATTATGCCCATATACAATAAATTACATAAATGGAGGATATGATGGCAAGGGGTTACAATGTGAACAAAGCTAGGATTGACATAAATAAAGGCTATGGTGCAAGTTCCTATCTAGAAGAAACTACAAAGCTAGGATTTCTTGCGATATTCCAAGTGTCCATCTAGAACTATCCTTTTGATTTGTCATATCATTGTCGTAGGATGATTTGCTTGACTTATCCATACTTAAACTGCTTAAAGACAGTTGCTGAGTCCCACGTAGCAAACTTGAATCGAGAAATATGTCATCAATGTAGACAAGAAAATTTTGACCTACAACTGAGGCTCACACACTGGACGTACCACACAACATGGCTCTGTATTTACCGTCCCGACAGGACAACAAAAAGCAAACTGTTCAATTTTGCCTAATCTGATTTTACATGGTTTTGGGTACCTTTAATTTGGTTGTATTATTGATCTAAACCATCCATTGGTTGCCTAAAGAATTCTATGCCACTGAAAGGCTCAATGGGATCCTTAAATAATTGATAGACTACCACTTTGTAATTTGAAACTTCTTAGCTCTTGGAGTATTCCATATGTTCCTTCTTTTAATGCAAGATGGATACAATACATTCAATGATCTCTATAGAGCTTTCTGGCCCTTCAATGTTTACATGTGATAATTTGATCCCAAGATGAATCTTATAAATTTCTTATTTGTTTGAAGATTGTATGTTGATCTTAAGGTGAATCCTTTCATGTAACTATCAAGAAGATTATATGTCTAAGATATTTTTGTTGTTGATGCTAGACAGTTGGGATCAGTGTTGTAGATCTTGAGTGTGGAACCTTGCTGGTCCATGGTCAGACCTGTATGAATCTAGTCTGTGCTAACATAACAGCAAGTATGGCATGATTAAAGGCCAGTTTAGGCTGGCCAGAACCCCAGGGAAACCCTATTTTTGGGGTTCTTTCCCACCTTTTCATGACAAATGTAACTCATATTCATCAAACTGAAGTGGTCTCAATCTAGAAAACAAAAAATACTGAATTGAACCATATATCAGATATGGGAATGCAACATGGTGAAATGTCAGATTGGGCCGGCTGGAACCTGAAAAAAAACAGTTTTTTTTGGGTTCTTTCCCACTTGTTCTTGATACATACAGTCAATACCCATGTTGATATCTTAGAACCCTAGCTTCTAAAGAAACATTATTGGTTTCAGTCTAGAAAACAATAAATATGAAATTGAATCTTATATTAGAAATGGATCATAGGTTGTTTCTAAAGAATCTATGTCCAGAGAAACAAATTCTAGCTTCCAACCAAATTAAGCATAATAAATTTGATGTATAATAAGATATATTTCTTGTCATACTACCAAACTGATCATTTGGGAAGATGAAAATGAATGTTAGTAAAGAGAAGATGATATTTTGCTTTTCCTTTTGTTTTGTTTTTAGATTTTAATGGATCTTTTATCATAATTGTTGAGGTATCTCATTCCAGCCAGAAGTAAACTCATTAGAAAGTTGGCCTAGCCTATTTGGCATTGACGGTTAACCTTTGAACCAATTGTCCTATGGACCTTATAACTTTAACATAATTATTTGGATATCTGGAAATAGTCTCAGTTGAACTCATCAGAAAGTTGGCCCAGCCCAACTATCATTGGCTGTCAACCTATGAGACCAAACTATGCAGCGTAATCTTAGGAGAGTCACATTAACAATTCAAGTCATATTTGCCATCTCTGCTTTCTTGGTTCCTTGGCTGAGATTCATTCTTTTGCCTACAGCATTGTTTGGTACTTCTATATGTTAATGGTATCATCTTGTTTCGTTTGTTACAATATCTGCAAATCAACTTTTTCTAGCACTATACTTTATCTCTCATAAATTGTATTATTGATTTATTATCAATATTTGAGCTTTATGGTTTCTTATTCATGATAATTATATCAACCATATTATCAGGCCCTTTTTCTGAGTCATGATTGAGTGTATCGCATACTAAACATGTGGATATGTATTATTTTACAATTTTATCATATTCTTTTGTATGGTCGGTCTACTATTCTTTTGTATATCAAAAATGTATATTTATCTTTTGTGAACAACGAAGAGTGTTAAATTTTCTTGTACCTTCTGTCTTTATGTATCTCATGATGTTAGTATATTCAGTACATATGAGACCCCTTTACTGGTGAGATGTATGACTGACCTGTATTTGTATATATAAACTGTGTGTGTTTAACTTCTGTAATTAAACTCTTTTGAGTACTCTTTTTGACTAAAGACATATCATTGAATAGTTGTTTATAGTCATTTTTCTATCTTTTCAGTTGTTAGCTGATGGTGTTATTCCTAATGAGTATGGGATAAATCCAAAGCAGAAACTGAAAATTGGGTCTAAGGTATGTGGTCCTGCAGTTTTCTTCCAATAAATATTTAGTTGCAATATTATGTCTTTATAAATAAGTTGAATTCCTTAATTATCAAACACTTTTAGCAATGATACGCTCTTGAAAGACATTGTAAGGCTTCGGAAAACCTACAGGTGGAAACTTTATCATGGAGGTTTAAATGTTTTAACACTGAAATTTATGAAGGCAAAATTATTGTATGGTATTATGATCTAAGAGATTATCAAATGAAATCATACAGAAACACAAGTATATCCTCCAAATTTTACATGCCATCAATTAGCAAGCTCTTAAATTTAACTCTCTCATTTACAATTAGTAAGCTATGTTAAATTGTCTATTATGAGCATTGTGTACTCTTGTTTAGCTCTCATATGCCTGCAATTTGGCTTTCCTTGTCTTTTCTTGCTCTTGATCTTCCCTGCTGAAGAACAGACCTCATCAAGCCTCCATAATGATTGATTGCTGTTAAAATGTGCAAACTTCTATTATAGAAAACCTATTAACAATGAATTTATATTTATTTCTTGCCAGTCATATAGAGGTTTCCTTACATTTGGTATCCTATTATCAATTAACAATACAAATTGAAGGCTTAGATCTTCAGGCAGTGCCTTCTTAATCTCATTCCTTATAGTATATATCATGTGACATAAAGCCCATTTGTAATATCCTTTTCCATATCAATTCGAAGGATGATTATGTATGATGGCTCTACAGATGGTCTTACTTCATTCTAGAATATAGAGGATAACATGCAGTTCTCGATCATCTTCTCATCTGATGTGCTAACAAAATGTAAACCAGCCTAGTCACTGCATGTAAACAAAGCCTTGACTCCAGTCACTTTCCTGTTGGATGAACTACTAGGACTTCAAGAAGATGAAGTTAGTACCAAAATGTGTGACCCCTCGATATAGGAGCTCCCTTTATAATACTCAATCGATAATCTCTCTTTGTTCTAGAATGTAGAAGATAAAATGCAGTTCTTGATCATCTCCATCCGATGAGCTAAAAAAAATGAAAACTAGCCTAGTGTCATGACTTGACCCAATGAAATAACAAGCTTATCAACTTCACTAAGCCCAAACCACTCGACAAAATGCTTAAGCTGAAGTTGATAGTAGTACACTTATCAAACTTTTATAAGTTAATCTTAGTCTTGTTCATTTTCGGTGGGAGAGTAATTAGGGTATTACAAACTCCTTCACTTGAGGGCTCGACATCCTCATCAAGGCCCGGCATAGCCTAGACCAAACTCTAGCATGGTGCATGTGAGGCATAGTCTAGTGGTGACTCTATGCTGTGACAAGTCCTCTAACTCTATGCATGGGTAGCCCTTTCCTACTCGAGCTCCGTCACCATACCCTAATATTAAGTCGGCTCTGATACCAAATGTCATGACCCAACCTGATGGGATAATTGGCCTATCAATTTCGTTGAGCTCAAACCACTACCCAACATGCTTAAGTTGATAGTAGTACACCCATCAAACCCATATAAGTCCATCTTAGTCTTGCCTACTTTCAATGTGAGACTAATTGGGGTGTTACACCTAGTCATTGGATGTTAACAAAGCCTTGACGCCTGTCCTTTTCCTATTCAATGAACTTCTAGGACTTTAAGAAGATGGAGTTTGCAAGAAACTTAGTGACCCCTAGTCACAGGAGCTCCCCTATTTTAGATCTTTGCATTAATGCATGCACCAAAAGATAATTACAAATAAAATGAGGCGTGTTCAACACATTTGTCGTTGTCCACTTCATCATAGGGATATCATCGATGTGTGTCATACGGTCTATATAGCAAGCCATACATCCAAAAAAGAAATTCTTATTTGTCCATCAATTGTTCATTGATATTCTTAAATTTGCACCATTATCAGTCAGCATCTAGATTACTAGCACACTCCAACCTCATCCACCACTATTTTTATCTATGTTGAACAGAAGATGGCCCTTTTATTATAATGGACTAGGAAATTGATGATGCTCGTCTTAGTATGTTTGGACTAGTATCACTAATTCACATCATAAAGTTCTTAATCTTTTTGGGTGACAAACCAATCTCGAATTTTCTTGATCTCCTCATCAAGGTCTGCCTTTTCGAGTATCGGACCCTTTTTGGCAATCTATTGGAATGATACATACCAGTCTATACTAGTGTATTGACACATGGTACATCGGTGCATACCGGTGGTTCGACGAGGAAGAAAAAGAGGGAGAGGTAGAAGGGGCGGCAGAAGAACAAAGGAGGAAGGAGGAAGGAAGAGGGAAGAAGCAGAAGAAGTGGAGGAAGAAGGAAGAAGAAGAAGAAAGTAGCTACAGCGGTGAGGCAATGACATCGTTGAAGCGACAGCAATAACACAACGGTGAGGCGGCAGCATCTTATGCAGAAAGAGGGCTCGTGTTTGCAATGGTGAGATGGCGACATCTTACGCAATGGCAAAGTGGCAGCGACAACAGTGGCAAAGTGACAACGGCAAGGTGGTGGCATCTTATGTGAGAAGAGGGCTCGTGTTCACAAGCCCTAATCTCTTTCTTTCTTTTTTGATGCTGATTTGGATAGGGGCCCCACCATTTTCTTTGAATTTTTTATTAATTTAATTAGATCGCCTAAAACATGGTGGTCCGTGTATCGCCCCATGCCCAGACTGGTATGTACCACCCGTACTGTACCGTTTTGGGCAGTACAGCAAGCGTTGCTCCTCATTAAGTTACCTGGAAATCTCATATAAAGTAAGAAGTTGTATCCTAAAACCATGTTTCTGAATGGTTGACACCAAGGGTTGGTAGTGAGGGTCTTGAGCTGCATGTACAAAAATGTAATTGAAGTTGGGACCACTTTGCTATTGTCTTGTCTATCCTACATACTGCTTGTTCTCTTTTGTATAAGCATCATCTTCCCATCTACTTTGCAGTCTAAGATTGAGCATGTTCTACATTCTGCTGGAAGAATGCTATTGGATCAATGTCAATCATGTTAAGAGCTAGCATCCTATCCAAAAAACTCAAAACCTTGTATGTCCTTGACTCGTGACTGTCGTATACTGTCACTTCTGCCTGGCTTATGATCACTGGGTTATCTCATACTAACACTCCTGCATAAACTTCCTCCATTCCTCGTGGGGATGAAATTTTAATTAAATTCAACTCTTATCCCCTTTTTTTACAACTTTTCAATCAAATCTATGATTTTTCCTTCCTTTTATTTTAATTGTATTTTCTTCTTATTGAGAAATCTTGGTAACTAATATAGGATTGTAGTGGATATTCCATGCGGTAACTTATGATACATGCAAAAGACACCATAAGCTACTTAAAATTATCCAAGAGAAAAATAAATCAGAACTGTTCCACATCAATTGTCCTCATACTGGGATGGACTTCCGAAGCCATGTTAGTGTTTTGCTATCTCATGCATGTGATTTTCCTCCAATGATGCATGAAGAACAGTTGTAAGCTCAGGGGCCTCATCAACATTGTCTCTCCAACCCACATACTATGTCCACTGTTGAGATGCTCTCTCTGAGCTGCTTGTTAGTGTTTAATTTCTGTCATACCACATTATCATTAAAGGTGTAGATGACAACCGCATAAATTGGTCAATTCTCTGTAATTTCTTTATCTGTTCATGCATTGTCAAGTTTCTTGATGTCTATTATAGATGATGTAGAAATTCCTGTCATCTATCTATAACGGAATGTCAAAGAATAGCTTTTCCCATCAAACATTTTATGCATCCTGGTAGTACAACAATTTGCTTCCTGAATGGCACTTTCCTTGAGCAGATATAGATTGTTGTCAGTCTTCTTTTAAAAAAATACTTTTTTTTAATGTTGATTTGAAGTTTTGAACACTTTTCTTTTCATCATTATTAGATGCTTATTAATAGAACATGTTGACTCCAGAGCAGTCTACCAGCCAATCTTTAAGTGTTTACTCAATCTTTATTTACAAGTTGTTTTCTTGGTTTTAATTTTTGGTGGTTCAGATTGCTCGTCGTTTGTTGGGCAAGATTTTAATTGACCTGCGTAATACTCGAGAAGAAGCAATAAGTGTTGGTGAACCAAACTACAATCAGGAGGAGACAGACTTATTTAGACCTCTGAATAAGAATGAGCACACAAGAAGATCAAATTCCACCTGTGACAACTCACCAAAAAAAAATGAAGATGATGATGATGATAGAGAGACCAAATACCGCTTGGATCCGAAGTTTGTATTTTTATCTTCTTAGTTATGAGTTATTTAGTGAGGATAGGATAATTACTACATTCTTTACTTGTCAGATATGCTAATGTGAAAACACCTGAACGACATGTCCGCACAAGGCTTTATTTCACATCGGTATGTGCATATATCTTTCTCATTTTTTTTAAATGGTTCACTTAGCTAGTTGTGACCTGTGCATGGTTAAATCATGTTATTTCCAGTAATCTCATTGATCACCATCTAAATCTGGTTGATCTAGCTTCTCTGCAGATGAATGTGTATTAAGAACAGTTTTAATAAGTTGACCTTAGTTGGATTGTTAGAAACAAGAGTGAAGCAATAGATTGGTGGCATAAATGTCATGAAATGCTGTTCTGGATAGTGTGTTGAGAATAATTATGTTTTCTTTGGTCTGGTTTAAATTTTGGATTTTGTGAAATATGGTGTTTTGTATGTTAAAATTGTGGAATCCTGTGTGATGCATTTTGAAGTGGTTATGCAGAATTGACAGAACTTCTGGGTTCCTTTTATATATGGTGCAAATAATCGAAATCTAAGAAGAGGTGGAGTATGCTGTTTACGATGTTAAGGTTGTGGAAGAGAGTGGTTATACAGAATCAAGAGAACTTTTAGGTTACTTTTGTATATGATACAAATAGAAGAGAATTGAGATGATCATCATGTGAAGTTATACAGTTGATCTATGAAGTATGAACATAATGACCTCGAGATGTTACATGCTATTTTAATACTTAAACCCAATAGAGGACAATCATTAACACACTGTTTCTCCTTTGTATATTTGGATAAATTGTTGCATGACACAGGTTTGACTGATTTCAAATCCAAATGACAAGTTCGGTAGGTTTGAACTTATTTCTGTCAATTCTTGCATCTCTTGCAGTAGTAGAATCAGACTGAAATAAATGAAGCAAAGAAGATTGCCTAATCTTTACCTATTTCGTATATCTGGACATTCGAAGTTTTAGAGTCTGGCTACATAATCAGTTTATCGTCTGATTATTTATTATCTTAGGTAGCTCATGTCGGGGCATATGGTTGTCATTGTCCACACTTTTCCCCATAATTTTTTCACTTACGGAAAAAAATTGTAAAATGTAGAAGGATTTATGGCACAAAGTCTCCTAGTGTCTAGTTCCTAAACAAGCAAGATCAAGAAAGAGATGGTCTCACAGAAATGTCTTCGAGAACTCAAAAAAGATAGTTGATTCTCAGAAGTATCTATATTATCGACTTCTGCTGAGGTTTGCATTCCTTGCATCCTTCGAAGTTCCCTTGAGACCTATGATGTACCTTGAAATCGCAACAAGTGTGAAGTTTAGTTTTAGAATGGTGGTTTGTTTTCTCCAGATTTGGATATCAACCAATGAATAATTGATAGACCTGTGTATCCTTGAACATTAATTTTCATTCTTTCTCAATCGTTATCATATTTAAGGTAATAATTTCATGAATTGCTTTGTCAATTACAGGAATCTCATATTCACTCTCTAATGAATGTTCTTCGCTTTTGTAACCTGGATGAGTCCATACAAGGAGAGGATAGCCTTGTATGCAGTAGTGCATTGGAGCGGCTATTTAAGACTAGAGAACTTGATTATACGAGTCACATTGTTCTACGGATGTTCGAAAACATAGAGGTATGGTTTAAACTTAAGTGAATCAGAAACCTTTCATGTCTTCATTGTTTTTTATTCCTCCCAATACACTATTACTGATTTTATGATTCATGTTAACTTATATGTAAATCTAGTGTAATGAAGTATTCAAGTGAAAATTGTATAATTAAGAAAGCTTCTGTTCATGAAATCAGTGTTGTATTGATGGGTGATGACCATGCTACTAAAGAATTGGGTCAAGTAAAATATACTAATTTTGTTTAGGTTGGAAAATCTTTCTGGAGTTACTCCACTTGTTATAATGGAACACTTGTTCCCCGTATATGATGTCTCATTTCCCATTGCAAGCAATCATTATTCTTAAGTTCATTAACAATTTAATTGTGATTAATTTTTTTGTTTACTAATTTTTTTGTTTACTAATGTTTTTGTTGACATTAATTTTGAACTCTAGTTATGAGAGCAAATTGGGGGCATAGTACAATGTATGAAATACTGAAACTGAATATATGGAATACAATATTAGCAGAGTAAAAGCATTACTCGACAAGGAGGATTAGTGAAAATATTTTTTGTTAAAGTAAAAACAAGATGGCTAAAGAGGGGGCAAAAGGATTTTGGTATGATTATTATCTACCAGTAGATTAAGATGAAATTTCTATAGTGCAGCTGTAACTTGTAAGGCCAACATCTTTATACATTGGATTTTTCGGCAATTGAGAATTAATGAAATTAAAAAGAAAATGTTGAGGTCAATGTTGTGGGTTTATAAGAAAAGATAAAGTAAGAAATATTTTCATTCAACAATTAGATGTAACCCAATATAATGTAAAATGGGGTTGGATAATTGCGGATAATATCATCATGTTCAGAAGTGACCTACAAATGCCATTATTAATCAACATGAGTTGATTATGATTAGTGGTGCAAGAAAGATGTAGGGAGACATCCAAGCTTTACAAGAAGCTCATTTGATTACTCGATTACCTTTGGATATCTTTTATGTAGCTCAATGGCAAGAAAAGATCGATGAAGTGTACCCTAAATAATTGAGACATTATGACTTGTTATTGGAAGTGCATAAACGATAAGAGCATCATGGATGCTTGACTAGAAGTTGAATATTAATTTGTTGTCTCATCTCCCTTTCTTTGTACATTTAAATCATGGTCAAAGTCACTACAAAGGTGTCTTTCGGAGAACTAGTTTTTGGTATAACATGCATTTAAGAAATTGTTCGATAGTCCTTTTCAGCTACATTTTTGGATTAACGTCATTTTTGCTTGTGGTTTGTTGCATCCATGTGTTGGTTTTTGTAGTACCACGACATTGGTTTTTGTGGCACTCCTACACAATTGCTGTAGTATATGCTACTATGCTAGACATTAAGTATTTGATATCAAGGTTTAGAATATCAAGCCATTGCTAATACCGGTCAATGATAGGACTGGTATAGTGTCTATACAGATCCACATACCAACACATACCAACACTCAGTATAGATTGATTTTGTCCAGATCAGAGATCAAGGGAGAGAACAGAGTAGTGGAGAGAAGAAGGGACAGAGGAAGAAGAGTAGGAGGCAGAAGAGGTGTACCAATAAGAGGAGACAATGACCCAAGAGAGGTGGAGATGGCAACTTAAACAAGGATGTGATGTTAGCAACGCGGCAGAGAGGAGGTAGAGGAAGAGGGAAGAAAGGAGAGAAAATAAAAGAGACATGGTGTGAGAAAGAGGAAAAGAAAAAGAATGATACAAACCAAGGTTCAAAGTCTTGGTTCGACACTGGTAGCAGTCCATGCTCAGACTGAGCCATGGTAGGAGGAGGGCTGGATGTGGAACATGATGAGGTGGAGAAGGAAGAAGAGGTGTAGGAAGAGAAGGGCAAGGATGAGACATATTAGAGGTGAAGAAGGAAGTAGTGACCCATTTTTTAGGCGATAGGGAGGAGGCCAAGGAGGAGGAAGGGAGAGAGATAAAGCGAGAAAGAAAAGGAGCGACCAAGGCATGGAAGGAAAGATTAAAAAGGTACAAAAAAGAGAAAGACAATTGTAAGAAAAAGAAATGATAGGGGTACAGGGTGACATGCTCTACTGCCCTGTAGAGCAGATATTGGAAATATTGTGAAGTTGGAGGAGGTTTCAAGTTCCATAAAACATCATGTGAAGCTATTCTTTAGACGTGGCACCTGTGTTGAGTTACCATAACATTCAGAATCTGTTGGGTTTCCAAATAAAGCTGACTGGTCTACAGATTATTTAGCTAAGAAAGTTCTCTTGAAAAGTTCTCTTGAAAATAACATAGTGAGAGATAGAGAGAGAGCGAGAGAGAGAGAGTTCATACTTGATTTTTCCAGCCAATGACAACTCTGGCAGACAGTAGCAGTTGCGATCCAATCCTTTCGGTCCTTTCAGTCGGTGACTGGTGACTTGCAATTCAGTCAGAGCGGTGAAGGACAGTGGAGACTTTCTCTGTCAATGTAAGGCCTCTTATTACTGGTAGGAGCTACTTTTCAGTGGCAACCATGGAGGAAGAAAATAGGACTTTTCCTCAGTTGAAATAAATCTGTGGCTTAGAGTGAGAGTTGGCTTTCACAATAAAAAAAGAGCTCAGGGAAATTTTGTTATGAACAAGTACAGCTGTATAAGTCTGTAAACATAGTATTGAGTTCTTTTACTTGATTCATGTATTCCACATCAATTGATGGCAATTATTGAGTTAAAGTAAATACATAATTTCCATGGTAGGTGAAATGGGATTGTTTTAATCAACACAACCTGGAAAAAAAAATTTTAATAGTCAAACCCGCAGCTGCTTGTTTTTGCATTGAGACACATGGCAATTATATGACAGAAGAATATCAATCACCCAATTATATTCTTCGTATTTTATTTTTATGCATAGATGGCGGACATATATGCTTATGCTTTGTGTTTGCCTGAATGTGCATGTCCTTGTGTGTGTGTGTGTGTTTACATTATATACACCCACAAGACAGTCAATGTTGCTTGGTCACCTTGCAATGCAAATTTGTCTGGCCTTAAATCGGTTGGATCTAGCACTTATTAACTCCGTTAAATTGTTACTCCACTAATTGCAGGTATCTTTAGAAGACCCAAAGAGGTTCCGGATAGAAATGACCTTCAGTCATGGTGCAGATTTAAGCCCTCTACAGGTAATTATGCTAGTTTATCTCTAGAACAGCATCAAGTATTATAGATAACTAGAAATATCACAATGAGGATTGACAGCTAGATCACATGAGTTTTCTTTTGGATTATTTTGGTGCAGGATCATGACAATGAAGCTGCTTGTTTGCTTCAAGAGCACACATTACCCATCATGGGACCAGAGAGGTTGCAGGAAGCAGGGTCTTACTTGACATTAGACAAGTTTGAAAAGATGATCCGTCCGTTTGCCATGCCGGCTGAGGACTTTCCACCACCGGCAGTTCATCAAGCCTTCTCTGGTTACTTCTCCAGGAGTGGTGGAGTGCTAGAACGTCTAGCTAGCCTATGGCCATTCCATAGGAGCAGCGGCAACTCTTTGAAGTAATCAGAATGTTTCTTTTCAACCCTTCTTTTGTTTGATTCTGTTTGGAAACATGGTATATATGCCTTCCCATACAAAGATAAGCACTATGGAGATCAGTTTCATGTGCCCAATTTTTTTAATGGATCATATTTTTGATTGGATTTTTCGTAAATTTATAAAAAGCTTGATCAAAAGACTATAATGTTAATATGAACATAATAAAGATAAGTTTTATTAGGGTGAACTCAGTTTGGACCTTGGGATACTGTTTGTCAGATATAGTTATGCCAGTATTATTCTTTTATCAAGACCTGCTGCATATTTCATGGTCATTACATTGTCTCAAGGTTTCAGGCTTGCTTAATTAATTGATGTTTGCTTGCCGGCTACATAAATATGATACAACTCTTCTTCAGATGTTTGGAGAAAGTATTCTTACAAAATAGTTGGAGAAACAAGCACTGTGGTGATTTTTTTTTTTTCTTGTTCGGGATAGTTGTAGCCCAACTTGTTCTGTCAACAAGTTGACATAGAGAGGTTACATAGTAACAAAAGGGGATTACCTACCTAGAGATGTTACATAGGTTAAAGACTCTTGGAGTGTCTTCCTCGTGTATTTGTGTTCAGTTTCTTCGATGAGGACCAAATTTATCGTAAATTAATTTACTTTGAAATTGATTATATAAACAATTTTATTTGAAAGTTCGTATACAATTAATTGTATGTTTATATATGATGTTGATGCTAGAATCAAGCATTTATAATGGATTGTCATAACTCTTGTGCAATCATTTGCTTGATGAGATTCTTTCTTAACGTGCACAATTGACTGCTGTCTTTATGCTAATTTTTTATGAGATTCTTTTCTCATGTGCTGGATGCTAATCCTCTGTCATACAATTGATTATTTTAAATTTATGATTGATTTGACAAAAAAAAAAAAAAAGTAAACAATTCATCCACAGAACTGCTGTTTATCATTGTGAAATGCATGCACAAATACTGCCCTTACTATGCGGTTACAATCTCATAGGTGAAAAGATAATAATAAACCAGTATATAAATCAAGCATACAACCAAACCTCCAAAAACTAATGCTAATAAGCAGGTTGGTCATGACCACAGCTCATGTTCTGTATGTATAACTATCGGACTTCTCACCTCATGTTTTCCATCGGACCATACGATCGAAGCCGAGGCAACAGAGTTCAGCGAGAGCGGCTTCCCAGCGACCCTCACGACGAAGCTTTGCTTCTCATTCAATTCTCCGAAGTGAAGCTTACGTGGATTCACCTCAATATCAAGACCGGATCCTGAGGCGACCTTGGCTGTGTAGGTGGAATTTGGATTTCCCACATTGGTTACTGTCCTCGAGAATTCTGCTCGGTACTCCTTACCCCGTGCAACATAGCGGGTCATCGTAGGATAGTTCATATCCACCGTTGTTACGTTTACGTTCCTGGGACAGCTGCTGCTATTATCTCCAGTCACGAGCCTGATCAACCTTGTGCTGTAGCCTTGCACGCAGAGCATGTTCACGAAGTCTCTCGCGGTTGCATCATACACAAGACCCGGACTTGTTGCCTTTTTCGGATTGAGTTGCCCAGCTCCATAGGCGAGTTCGGCCTCTGGATTGCGTGACGGACTCATAGGAGTGGCTGCACGGCAAAGACACATGAGAAACGCCGCAGCAGTGCGACGAGAATTAGAATTACGAGGAGGAGACTCGGATTACCTGTCGTCATAAGAGCAGACTTGATGGCTGCCGGAGACCATCCCGGGTGGAACGACTTGACGTAGGCAGCAACAGCAGTGGCATGGGGGCAGGCCATGGATGTTCCGGATATGATGTTGTACTTGACTGAGCGCGTATCATTGACGTCGTTAGAAACGGAGCCCTTGGGAGACCATGTTGCCAAGATATCAGTCCCAGGAGCACTTATATCAGGCTTCCAAATGGAAAACAGAGTGGAGGTTAGATTTCTCAAAGGAAAAGAGCTGCAAGTCTGAGAAATGTTCAAGGCATCACCCACTTTCAGGATATTGGGAGTGATCGGATTCGGCCCCCTGGAGGAGAAGAAAGCAACAACTGGCGCTCCTGGGTTGAAGATTGCTCGACTTTTTTTTATCCTAGAAAGAGGTCTCCTGCTCCATGCAAATTAAATTGCCAAAAGTAAAAGAAAACAGGTTAACAACTTAGTGGCACTACGAGACGTGGTTACAGATCGAAAAGTTGTGAGCTGGTTAGAACAACCTGGCTCTCTCGATGTAGTTTCTGATTGTTTTCCCCTGTCTTTCGCTGATGCCGACTGCAGGAAGAGAGTATGTGCGTGCTGAGTCCAGGTCGCTAATCACTGCCAATGCTCCCTTGGCACCGGAAGACACAGCTCCAGCTTCATAAAGACCATCACACAGGATAATCTTTCCTTCAAAAGTTGTATTTGGGGTTTCTTCCAAACAGATGCTACAGCACAGAATGGAAAGAGAATGAGAGATGATGATGACGATGATAAATGAAGCATTGTTACCTTTCATCGCCAAGTACCAGTGGGTAGAATTTTTTCTGACTGGGGAAGCTGTTGATAGAGATCCCCTGTGTGCATGTGAATTTTCTTAAGCAACCGTACACCACCCACCATATATAGATCGAAGTGACAAGATCTTGGCGTGAGATTAGTACAACAAGTAACTCACACTGATGGTCTTATTATTTCCCAGGACAACCTTGTCTACGATGCGTCGATCGATGCTGCTTGCTGCAACCACCAGCATCCATGGAGCGACATTGGTTACGGTCTCTCGATACGGCCCGTAGTTACCTGCCGAAGCGGATGTAAGGATTCCCTTCGCCACGGCATGGAATGATCCGATCGCTAGTTCGTCCTCGAAGTAATCGACTGCAAGTGACCCTCCGAGCGACACGGATATGATATCGACGCCGTCGGCTATGGCGTCGTCGAATGCAGCAAGGATGTGATGGGAATCGCAGCCATCGGACCAGCAGATCTTGTAGACGGCGATCCTTGCAGTGGGCGCCCCACCCCTTGCGGTGCCTTTCGCAATGCCATACAGGCTGGCTTTCCTCACCTCGCCGCCGGCCACCGTCGACGCGGTGTGGCTGCCGTGGCCGTTGAAATCTCGTGGAGATCGCTCGACGGGGATCGAGGCATCCGGGGCTATGTAGAAGCGTGCTCCCACGATCTTACTACCGTAGGCCAAAGATGCAAATCATTCAGTGGTGTGACGAAGCATGAGAAGGAGATCGACCGCAAGGATGATCACATACTTGTTACATGTGAAGTTTTGGCAGACACCTTTCCATTTGCTCGGCGGTGGTCCAAAGCCTTCGTCGCTAAACGCTTCTGCCTCGGGCCAAATCCCTGTGTCTAACATCCCGACAATGATATCAGTTCCGGTCGACTGCTTTCGCTGCAGATCGCGAGTCAAGCCCAAGAAATCCCATGACCTCGTGGTGTGAGGCTTGAGCTTTCTGCTAGGAAACACTGAGATTACTCCGTGCTCACCTACAGGTTTGATCAATCATCAATCGACTTGATATTTATATGTGAATCACAGGATTCAGCATCGCAACGATGAATCAATTTTGTCCCGTCAATTCTTCTGACATCATACCGGCTAACTTTTCTTTCTCCTCGTGAGTGAGTCTGGCTGCAAGCCCATTGAAGCTCCTCGTGTAGCTGTAAACCAAGCGCTCCTTCGCCGAACTACATAAAATACAGCACTCGATCAATTTTAGAATTGATTTCAAGATTTCAAGAACTAACGTATACCTGCCGCCATCGAGTACTCGATCGAGTAAGGTAAGATGGGAATCGGTCGAGTAGTATTGCGACGACGGCTGGTTTCCCATGTAAGCAATATAAACCTGCATATGACAACCATAACTCCAGAAATCAGCGCACTACAGAGCACCAAACGAGAACATATATCGTCTTTCGAGCAAACTGCTACTAACCTGTCGGTCTTCATGAGCATCGGTAAAGGAAGCAAGAAGAGATAGGGAGGTGATAGCAACGAGAAGGCGTGTAAGATATTTGATCGGAGACATTGCCATTGTTTCTCTGCATCGAGAGAAAACTAGTTGTTTACGAATGAAGTCACTTTTTCATATGCATTGCACTTAAAAGACTGAAGGAGACTGTATCACTAACGAGATCCTGTGGCCAAACCTTTTCATTGTCGAGATATAAAAATGCTATGCTCTAAAATGCCACCTGCATAAAGACTAAGGTTGAAGGAGATTCCCTGACCCGATCCCTCCGATGCTCAAGTTAACAATATGACATCTAAGCTCGAGTAGTTCACAAAGGAAAGAGTTCTGTGCATAAAAGAAAGTTTGCAATAGTCATTCTTTTGTCATAAAAGAAGAGAATGAGGTTTAGGATTGTCTTTATTATAAAGGGAGAGAATATAGATTGTGATTATATTTCTTATCATAATGAATGAGAAGGAAGCTTGTGTTTCTGTGCTTTAAATCTTTATACATGTAGATAATTACGTATTAGTTGACGGTAAATTCTCTATCATTTGTCCCCCCCTTTTGTGAAGGCATGCTTCAAGGCTTTTGCAAGAGAAGTTCGAAGTGTATCATTCGATTTTTTTGGCATGGGAGTATTCAGAATCTCATTCTACGGGTCAGGTTTTCCTAATTCAGGTTTCTCGGGTACGTTGGGCTTGTGTTTCTACCATAGTGGATGCCCTTTAGCGTAGGTCAGGTTTTCATACGTAGGTCAAATTTTCTCGACTCACATGTATCGGGCACATTTGGTATGCGCTTTCATCATAGTGGATTTATCATGGTGCTAATCGAGTTTCCTAACTCGCATGTCTCAAACATATTTAGCTTGTATTTTCGTCATAGTGAATTTATCTCAACGCCAATCTAGTTTCTCTAATTTGCATGTATTAGGTACATTTGGCTTGTGCCTCCATCAATAAAAAAGATTTATTTCGTCATCGGTCGGGTTTCCTGACTTACACATCTCGGGCATATTTGATATGTGCCTCTATCGAACTAGATTTGTCTTAACGCTAGTCGGGTTTCCCAACTCACATGCCTCGAACACATTTGGCATGTGCCTCCATTGTAGTTGATATATCTTGACGTCAATCGGATTTCCCGACTCACATGTCTCAGGCATATTTGGCTTATGCCTCTGTTATAGCGGATTTATCTTGGTGTCAGTCGGGTTTTCTGACTCATATGCCTGGAGCATATTTAGCTTGTGCCTCTACTATAGCGGATTTATCTCGATGTCAATTAGGTTTTTCAACTCACATACCTCGGACACATTTGGCTTGTGCTTCCATCGTAGCGAATTTATCTCAATGCTGGTTAGGCTTCCCGATTTAAATGCCTTAAGCACATTTGGCTTATGCCTCCATCATAGCAGATTTATTTCGGCATTAGTTGAGCTTCTCGACTCATACACCTTGGGCATATTTGGCTTGTGCCTATATTGTAGTGGGTTTATCTTGATATCGATCGAGCTTCCCGACTCATATGCCTCGAGTACGTTTGGCCTGTGCTTTCACCATAGCGGATTATAAGTCTCCTCTCCACCATGATGAATTTTATATTTTCCCACCATAGCGACCTTCAAATCTTCTCTTCGCCATGGCAGATTTTCAAGTCCCTTCTCTACCGTAGCAGATTTTAAATCTTCCTGCTATAATAGGCTTTAATCTTCTCTCCATTATGGTAGATTTCAAGTCCTTTCTCTGCCATAGTGAATTTCAATTCTTTCCGCCATGGTGGGCTTCAAATATTCTCTTTATCATATCAGATTATTAAGTCCTCTCTCCGCCATTTCATATCTTCTCTCTGTCATGATAAGTTCTTTCTCTACCGTGGTTGGTTTCGTATCTTCTTTCCACTATGGTGGATTTGTTAAGGACTCTTCATCGTGGTAGGCCTCAGACCTTTATCTCTTAGGTTTTTTTCCCAAAGAAATACTTATCTTGATTGTGAGAGTAGAGAGATCAGTCTCCTTACAAATCTCCTCCTCTCGTAAGGTGGGACTCATTCCTCTATCTTAGTTCTCAAAGTCCAAAATCTTTGGAGCCTCGAAAGCTCTCGACCTCACCCCTAGGGTTTAGGAGCGTCTCCCCTTCACTTGAGTTCTTGATAAGGTGGGTTGATCTTTGAGTCCTTCGTCCCGATGTCAATTCTACTCTTTTGTATTAGGTCAGGATGTCTCTCCTTTCTCGTATAATTTTTTTTTTATCTTGTAGCTACTAATCAGTCAAGGTTCATGCTTTGTCTTCAGATAGTCTAAGGGTGCAGGCGGTCAGGTCATCTTCATCAAAAGGGGCCTCTCTAGTGAACCTGATAGTTCTTCGGGACTTGGAGATCATGAGAAGTTTTCATGATTGTGATTTGGTGGTGAGTGCACCTCTCTTGGATCGCTTGAGAACTAGGTATTTTATCTCATCCAAGTTTGACTTGCAAGTTCCCTGACCTGGTCAGTGTTTGTTTGATTTTGCTCCTAATCTTTTTGTTTGTCATGTGATGCCCTTGTGCCAGGTCTCCATCTTTCTTTTCATCTAGTGATAGTATCCTATCTTCAATAGTGAGAAATATTGCCTTCCTAAATGGTGCCTAACTCATAACGCTATCTATAGTATTCATCAGGGAATACCAGCATGTCGACATTATCCCAACTCGTACTCTCTTTGTTATCTATTTTTGGTTGTGCAAAGGAAGAAGTGGCTATTATTTAGTCATTTAAGGAGGCTTCAAGGTCAACGGTGCCCCTTCCAACAATAAGGTCTAGAAGGAGTACTTCTTTTATATGAGCTCGAGTCAAGACTAGGGGTTCAACCTTACTTGATCGGCATGTTACATTGACAACACCTCTCTATTCTTATTGTATGAGGTGGTAAATCAAGTGCAACTGAGAGACATACTCTCTTCCTTTGAGGCAGTCCAAAAGATAGACAACGAGTGATTGACCGATGCGGGTCTTAGCTGAACTCCTTGGGATATGACCCAAACTTCTCCTTGTTTTACTTGATTTTTTTATTTTCTCCTTGCTTTGTGATTTGAATCCTCTATAGGAATAAATCTACATGCCCTGAAAAGGAAGGAGCTCAGCTCTTTATAGAGGTGGTGGAGCCTCGTTCAGTCTCGACAAATGCCACGGTCAAGCATGAATCTACACATCGATAGAGGAGTTGAATCCACTCGGTTTGGCTGTCATGGTAGCAATGACTAACTAAAAAAAACACACAAAGTCCTAGTAAAGAGGACAATGTGCTCTCAAAGGGATGACACACAGGAAGAGTCACTTCGAGAAATAGAGCCTCCCTCGACTATAGTGCTAGCACCTTCAGGAGGCCAAAGTTCTAAGTCAAACTCGGGAAAGAGGGGGAGCAAGTCGAGATCAATGTTGGACCAATGCAAGGGGAAGCCCTTGCCCTTCATGGCCTTGCAAATAGTCGATCTGTTAAACCCGACCCTAGAGACACTATTACAACCCTGATGGAAAGGTCTTAAGGAGATGCAGAAGGTGTGATGCGAAAGTCTGATAGTGAAGCAGTATTGTTGTAGGTCCTTATGCTTGAGGATGATGAAACAACTCTATGGCTCCCCTTGGAAGGTCCTAATTGACACCTACTACCAAAACAAAATGGTAGTAAGTTAGGATGTTATTTGCTCCTTTGACTTTGGTTCGCTAAGATACTAGGGTCGTCATTTACTAGCATGCTACCATGGTTGACAACCTTAGGGTCAAGGTTAAAGAGTTAAACAAAGGTGGAGCTTCCTCTGCTGTCATCGAGGCGGAGGCTCGAGCGTCCAAATTGACACACCAACTAGAGGATGCTAAGCACCACTTAAATGTTTTGGGTGAATGAGGATCGATCTAAGGTAAGATCTACCGGATTCCCTACCTTGGACTATTGGAATTTTCATCACATCTCATCTAAGTATTGGTCCATTTGTCTCAACCGAACCTTCAGGGAGCTATCTATTGAATTCATCGATTAAGTCTTAGATTAAGGGTAGAGGAGAGTGGTGGTGCATTGAAATTTCATTGTTGTGGAGCAAAAGGCTCCCTTGGCTAGCAGTGTTGAAGATCTTAGGCGATTTTAAGATATTGGCATTGCGTCGGTTGAAAGGACTCCAATGGGTGCCAGTGCGAACAGCAATTAAGGTGTCGATTATGGTTGAGATGGTGGTGTCATGTGGGCTAGCTAAGATAAGAGTGGGGCAATAACTTATAACACACCCATGAGCAAATACATCTGATTTGCAAGGCTTAAGAACACCTCTGTGGGATCGAGTAGGTGGCTCGAGTTTGCCCCCAAGGTGAAGAGCTTAGGTCATTGAATAAATGCTAGTGCCATGTTAGTGTTTATGCTGAGATAAACGCATTCATTTATGAGAAGGACGATAGTTACTCTCCTTGAGTAAAAGTATTATACGTTGGAGGTGGGGCCTTCTCGTTAGAGCGTCCATTGAGAGGATGGGTATGTAGACGTTCCTGTGACATCTAGCCCTCATTCTATCGTCAAAATGTTAGAAGAAAATGTCATTGATATCTTGGTCAGCCCGACGTGGTCCAGACCCGTGTATGCAAGAATATCTAAGATATCTTCGATGTGGAAGCATTGTGCTCCCAAGATGAAAATACTATGCTCTCAAGATGTCACCTATACGAAGACCAAGGTCAAGAGAGGTTTCCCAACCTAGTTCTTGCGATGCTCAAGTTAGTAATCTAAGATCCATAAATATGAGCTTGAGTAGTTGAAGAAAGGAGAGAGAGTTCCTTATCAAATTTTCTGTTTATGATATGATTTTATACCTTGTAGGAGGAGAAGAAAGTTTACGATGATCTTCTTTTGTTATAAGAGAAGAGAGGGGATTTAGAATTATCATCATTTGTTTATAATTATCTTTTTAGTCATAATAAATTTTATTTTTCTGCTTGCAATCTTTATACATATAAACGAACGATAAATAACTTAGATCTTAAGTGACAATGCGCGTCAGCTGACGATAAATTATCTATCGGTTTCGGCGTTTGATTTGCAATTCGTAGCCAAGCAAAA